CACAGCTGGGATTTCTACTAGGTACTAGGAACATATCACCCCCACAGTGGAGCATTAGTATTAACTCAGGGCAGGAGACAGAGGCACTGTTCTTCCCCTACTCTCCTGGGAGTCAGGAACACCACTGTATCCAATGTCAAGGGACTTCGGAAGCATGTCAAGATACACAGAGCACAGAATGGTTGCTATCTAGAGTGGAAAATTCTTTGCAATTTAAATCCAAATTAAACAACGACAGCAGCAGCACATTGTAAATACACTTAAATGGAAAAAATGAGAAAATTCAGGTCTAACTTACAGTTGACACACATTTGAACTTCACAGGGCCATTTATATACAAATTTATGCCCTGCCTCCACCCCTGTCCCTATTGCTTAGTTTTACTTAGTTTTACTTGCATCTACAATCAACACTCATGGTACTAGCAGTCAAGAAAACAAACGATGTATTGCATTGGAGAAATACTTCTGTCATGGAATTCTCCAAAGTACTGAAGCCAGTATAAAGACTGAGGTATTCCTGATTCAGGCCATGGTCTTTTCAATTACTTGCTAAGCATATGAAAGTTGGACAGTCAATAAGGATGACAGTAGAAGGAATGATGCCTTTGAGTTGTGATGTTGAAGAAGAGTATTGAATACGAACTGCCAAGAGAACAAACAAATCTGTCTTAGGGAAAGTACAACCAGGGAGCTTGTTAGAGGCAAGGAAGAAACTCAGTCTCAAATACTTTGTCAAGAGGCCAGTCTTTGGAAAATGATATCACGCTGGGAAAGTTTGGGGGCCAGAGGGAGACTGTCAACAAGATGGACGGACAGAATGACACTGGGCTCAAGCATATCAGACAAGATGAAGATGTTATGAGATAGAGTAAGATTCAGAGCTGTTGTTCATAGAGTTTCTGAGAGTCATAGTCTACTCGATGGTACCTAACAACACAAAATATAGGGACCTTTCCAAATTACTGAGGAGTAAAGATATCAATCTGAGGACTAGGGTGTGTCTGATTCGGGCCATGATCACTTGCTACACACCTGAGAGCCAGACAATGAATAAGCATGAGAGAAGAATCGATGCCTTTGAACTGTGGAGTTGGAGAAGACTACTGAATATCGCTTGGATTGCCAAAAGAACAAACAAATATGTCTTGGAAAGAGCGCAGTTAGAGTACTCTATGGAGGCAAAGATGACGAGGGTTCACTTCACATAGTTGGGACATATTGCTTGGAGGTATTATTCCTTGGAGAGGAACATGATGCTAGGAAAGGTAGAGTGTCGGTGAAGGAGAGGAAGACCTTCAACTAGGTAGATTGACCCGGTGACTGCTGCAATGGGCTCTGATGTGTCAGGAAGTGTGAGGATGGCACAGGATAGGACAGGGTTCAGATCTGTTCATAGGGTCACTATGAGTCGTACTCGACTAGATGGCACCTAACAACAAGTCATTAAGGTGGATTGTTGGCTCCATGGTAAGGAATTGCACTGCCAACACAAAGGTAGGCAGTTTGAATTCACTGGTCTATCCATGGAGAATGACGGGCCAGATCTGACTCAATGACATTCAAAAATAACAATTATTTGGAAGAGGTGGCTCTTCCCAGTCATATTTTGATGACTTCAGACATCAGGACCTCACTCTCTGACACGTTATTAGGCAATACCAGTAGGAGTGGCACCCACTTCCTAAACCACATGCCTCCGGAAACTTTATGAACTTTGATAAATGTCGATAGTTGTAGAGGGGCTTCAGGCCTTTTGTTTATAGGGTCGCTATGAGTTGTGCTCGACTTGAAGGCAGTCAATAACAACAACTCTCTACTATTCTTAGAATTTTTCCAAGCTCAAAACTCAAACTTATTGCTATGAGTTTGTAACCAACTCACAGCTGACCCTCCAAGAGGTTTCCAGAGATCATAAATGATGTGGGAGGAGATTACCCACCGTTCTCCCACACAGCAGCTGGTGGATTTGAACCACGTGTCTTTGTGTTGGCAGGACACCTCTTCACCTGTTTTATGAGAACTCCTTGGGTTAACTTTTTTTTTAAAAAGAAACAGAAAAAAAAAAAAACCAAACCACAACCCTTTTTATTATGACCTGAGGGAAAGTTTGCAGAGTAAATTGATTTTCTATCCAACAGGAACTCCTTGTGTTCAGTGTTAGTCTTCAGCCAATAATTTACTTTCCCCAGTGGGGTTGAATTGGAAGATTAGATGCTGTTTTATCAGAAATTATAGCAGGAAAACCTTGTTTTCATCCAGTCCCTCCAGTCCTGGTCGCCTGCGTTTTCCTAACTAGAAGGTAAGCTCGGATTCATTGGCTTCGAATTCTCTTATATGAAATCTGAAAAGCTGATCACCTAAAGAGGCAGATATCTAGCTGCTTCCCTGGAATCAGAGCTGACGTGTATGGAGAAGACAGTTCACGAACAGGTTCAGGGCCCGGGCTTTGGTGACAGGAAACCTGAGTCAGTCATAGTCTTCTAATTAATCATTCTCCTATAGATGGACTTCTTCTCAAAGGCCTAGGATTGCTCTAACTAACTAGGAAGCATTTTTCTCTTCGATACTGCTGGGCTTGATTTCACAATTATTTTTATTTAAAGTGTTTGTTGTTGTTGTTAACTGGCGGGGATTTTGAGGACCGTGGAGGATAAGGAAAGTTTCAGATCTTTTGCTCATCGAGTCACAATGAGTTGTTATCAACCTGACAGCATCTAACACGCCCAAGTTGGGGTCACAACCCTCCTGTAGGCTGACTGTGCCATCTCAGCTGACAGAGAACTGAATGCAAAAATGTCCATAGACAGCTTAAGACAGGATCTGGAGCACAGTAAATGCTTAATAAAGGACTATTCTTATCGCTTTATAACTGGCCTATGACGAGGGGTTTTCATTTGGTCACATCACAAATATTTGGTTAGGTTTCTTTTTTAATAGAAACTGTAATTTAATAAGTGATTTTTTTTAAGACAAGAGGGTGCTTTAATTTTTCAGGTGTGTAAATAGGAAATGAATTCTTCGTTACTTTAGACTGTAGACACTTGAGAAGCAATCTAGATACACTCAAATCTTGATCAAGTTTGTTTTAGAAGCTGAGATAATGGTTAAAAGTGTTGACCCTGATGGGTATGTTTGAAAAGCTTCATATTATGTGTAATGATTGTAGACAGTTTATCAGAAATAAGAAAATATCCTTATACTTTTCAAAGTAATACATGTCATATTTTAGCACTTTTCTTCTTCAGTAATCTCTTAAGTCAAAAGAATCATATTTCTATCCTTAGTCTGTTAAGATAGTGTAATCTTGTAATAACCTTCTGATGAACCTCCTAGGTTCATCCTTGGAGTTCCAAGATAGACATAATAAGCTAGGATGCATTTTTCTTCTTAATACAGCTGGGCTTCTTTTAATAATATTTTATTTAAATATTTTTATTTATGTTTTAAAATCATTTTTTTATTATGTGCCGTTGAGTTGCCTGTGACTCATAGTGACCCTATGTACAACAGCCCTAAACCCTACTCTACCCTGTGCCAACCTTATTGTCTCTTAACACACCTATCCCTATTACCCCAGTCACTGAATCAATCCATCTCATTGATGGTCTTCCTTTCTTGAGCTGCCCCTCCACCCTCCTAAGCACGATGTCCCTCTCCAAGGACTGGTCCCTCCTTACATCATGTCTAAAGTATGTCAGACGAAGCTTCAGAATCCTTGCCTCCACGGAGCAGCCTGGTCTCACCCTTTCTAGGACAAACCTGCTTGTTCTTCTAGCAGTCCATGGTCTATTCAATACTCTTCTCCAGCATCATAGCTCAAAGGCATCAATTTTCTTTCTATCATCCCTAGTCATTGTCCAGCTTTTTGATGCATAGCAAATAATTGCTAAAACTATGGCCTGGATCAGGTGCACCTCAGTCTCCAGATAGACATAGTTGCTCTTCAGTACTTTGGAGAGGTCTTTGACAGCAGACTTTCCCAATTCAAGTTGTCTTTTAATTTCCTAGCTGCTGGTGCCAAGAGTGTTAGTTGTGGAGCAAGTAAACTAAACCTGTTAATAATCTCAATCTCTTCACCATCTATCATGATGTTACCAATTGGCCCAGTGGTGAGAAATTTTGTTTCCTTAATGTTGACCTTCAACCCATATTGAAGGCTGTAGTCTTTGACCTTCTGCAGCAAGTGCTTCAGGTCCTCCTCAGTTTCAGCAAGCAGGGTTTTGTCATCTGCATAACACAGATTGTTGATGAGTCTTCCTCAAATCTTGATGCCACATTTCTCTTCATAGAGCCCAGCCTTCTGGATAATCTGTTCTGCATATAGATTGAAAAGGTATGGAGACAGGACACATCCCTCGTGTACAACCTTCCCAATTTTGAACCATGCAGTGTTCCCTTGCTCTGTTCTGACGACTGCCTCCTGGTCCAAGTACAGATTTCACATAAGCATCATCAGGTGTTCTGGGATTCCCATTCTTCTCAGAGTCAGCCACAGTTGTTGTGATCCACACAGTCAAACACCTTTGCATAGTCAATGAAACACAGACAGACATTCATCTGGTACTCTCTTCTTTCAGCCAAGATCCATCTAACATTAACTATAACATCCCTAGTACCACAGTCTCTTCTAAACCCAGCCTGCACTTCTGGCAGTTCTCTGTTCCAGTCATTTTTGTATGATCTTCAGCAGAATCTTGCTGGCATGTGGTATCAATGATATTGTTCGATAATTGCCACATTTTGTCAGGTCCCCTTTCTTTGGAATGGGAACAAAGCTAACCCTTCTAGTCAGTTGGTAAGGTGATGGTTCTACAGACTTCTTGACACAACTTGATGAGCACATCCAGGGCAGCATCTGTTTGTTGAAATACATTAATTGGAAGTAAGTTATCTGCGTGTACTTCCCCCTTGTCTTATGTGTTCTCTTCACCAGGACTTTTGGATGTTGGTTTTCAATTAATTGTGTTTGAAAGAGCAGACTTGGAGAGATCAGAGGACATGCTGAAGCAGCTCCAGGTCCTGCTGTCAGCCTTCCTTGTCCTGTCCTGTGGCTTCTTCTACCTGCTGAGCCTGAAATCCACCAGCCTGCCTACCATCAAGTCCCAGAAGGGGCTGGAAGCCCTCCTGGGTCAGGACCACGGCATCATCGTGTTCGTGGAGACCTCGGGGAGGATGGAGCCGACCCCACTGGCCACCTGTGCGGTGGAGTCAGCAGCCAGGATTTATCCTGAGCGCTTGGTGGTGTTCTTTATGAAGACCATCAACGGTTCTACAGAGCTGCCCCCAAATATCACCCATCCTGCCTTTTCCCTCCTCTCAGCGATAGACAATGTGTTCCTCCTCCCTCTGGATATGAAAAGGCTGTTTGAAGACACCCCGCTGTTTTTGTGGTATACTCAAGTAAGTCCTTAAAGGGTCTTTGAACGTCAGTGTTGAGAGGTCCCACCAGCAGCCAAGTCCAACACACACAATTTACAGATGGGTAGATGGAGGGTAAGCAGTTCCACAGAACAGTTGCCACAGAAGGGACTAGAACCCTGATCCTTGGACTCTTGCCTGCTCCTTTTTCCACCATAGTGAGCCCTGAATCAGGTAACAAGATAAACTTAATTGAAAGTTCTGGTTAGTATCTGATGTCTTTTGTTTCAGCCTTACTGTAGAACTGACGTTACCTAGAAGTACAGCTGGAGCTGAATGAATGTCTAAGTCTTTTCTAGGTGAATAGATGATTCGTTTCCCACTACTGGTTTTAAATACACTGATGTTAAACTGTTTCTACACCTGGGGAAATGGTTAACTGGAAAATAATGAAGGTAGAAAATGTGCGAAGGATCAGGGGAGTTGCTGTCATACAAGAACGGGTTGTATTATGTATTGTGATCAGGGAACCCAGAACTTGATGGAATTTTATAATCTTCATCCTAGTTGTTGTTGTTATGTGCCATCGAGTCACTTGCAACTCATAGTGACCCTATGTACAACAGCCATAAACTCTACTCTGTCCTGTGCCAATCTCACTGTCTCTGGCACACCTATCCCGATTACCCCAGTCACTGAATCAATCCACCTCATAGAGGGCCTTCCCCTCCTGTGCTGTCCCTGCACCCTCCCAAGCATGATGTCTCCAAGGACCAGTTCCTCCTTACAACATGTCCAAAGTATGTTAGATGGAGCCTCAGAATCCTTGCCTCCAATGAGC